CAGTCCATAAACGTTTATAAAATGACAACAAGACTACACAAGACAGCAGCAGTGGCACAATCCACTCTCTAGAGGGCAATACTAAAATGAGCAGCTTTCCTGAAGAAATCAAACCGCTCTGCAGTGCTTAGCCATCTAACGCTCTCAGCCACCTTGGATGTGAAAAGTATGCCAAATTCTCCATGTGGTAGTGAAGCGCAGCTGTTTCTTATAAGGCCTCTAATTATCAGCTGGGAAGGTGTGGATGTTAGCGCTGCATTCGTGGACATCATGTAAAAGCCAACCCAAAATCTACTTCACTACAACAAGCTAAACAATTTCAGTGAATACCTGATAATATTTGGCTCTTGACCAGACTATGGACAAAGGTCTTCGCTTTGTATAAGTTCGAAGCATAAATACTTCACATGTTTACCTTCACACAAGTAATGTGACAATGAGTGAAGTGATTTACCATTGTCAGATGAGACTGGTATATCCTTTAAAGGGAACTGTGTGTTTGTGGTTTCTGGTGAATACGTTATTTTTGGGTCACATAGTATTCGCACATAGTCACTTCTGGGCACTGGAATATTCTGTGATTATTTTATAGTATTTCAGATGTATAAATATAGCCGATGGTTTTAATAGATCACATTAATGTTGATTTTATACTTTTTTAAGCATTTTTACTATCGAAGCCTCATGATTGTCACCTCAGTTGCGCCCAGACCACATTGCTGTTTCTTCCTGTCAGACGTCAGACTGACATATGTATGTCACTCCACCCACAGCAGACCATTAGATTCTCCCACAAGGAAGTCAACAGACATCACTCTCATTTCTGACTCACTCACTATAATCACTTAAAGCTTTTTTTTATTTTATTTTTTTATCTCAAAAAATCATCTGAAAATAACAAAAAAGCAGAGGATGCAAACATGGACTGGATGCACATTTATTTAGTTATTTTGTAAGACATTTATGTGAACCACAACACATACAAACAAAAAGAAAAAAATCATCAGAAAATTAACAGGAATAAGGTATATTCTGTTCAGAGCTGGAGCTGCAGTCTATCTTGTAGCAGCATACACAACATGAGGCTCCTGCTCTCTCTGCGTCACAGGCCTGCAGCTTCTTTTGGTCTTTTTCTGGAAATTCAGAGCTGCGTAGTTCAGATTGTCTGAAGTCATGTTCTGAAAATCAGGATATTTAGTTAAACACTGCACGAAACAACCAAGGTGGATTTGTGGGTTATGTGAGTTTCAGAGTGAGATTTTTAGAGGTAAATATAAATATAAATGAGAAATCACATATACAGTACAAATCATTTTCTTTCTTTTTTTTTCGTTTTGATTGAAAAAGTAAAAAAAAGGTCCTTTTGGAAAAATAAACGTGTTTAAAAAGCTCCCCAGACAGCAAATATGTCATAAGGACCAACTCTTCACAGTGAACGCTTCAGCTAGCATTTTACCCACATTACATTTTAGAGTTATAGTAATTTGAGTTTTGCAAACTATAGATTTTGCCTGTTTAAAAAAAACAAAAACCTTTTTATTTAGTCTAGATGAACTGTTACTAAATAATTTAAAGTTATGAAGTTTTTCTACCTTTCTGATATTATTTAAAGTCAAAGAAAATAAAAGATTACAATTGCTTGCTTGAGTTTACTCTATGATGCAACAGGTCGAGGCTACTCACAGAGTAATTATGCATTTCAATGAAGCTTTTGAATCACAGAAAACTGTTGTCAGTTGAAAAAAAAAGAAGAAAAACTCAAAAAGTGAGTTTACCTTGTTATTTTCTTCTTGCTCTCCAGCAACTAAATAGAAATACCAAAAATGCTTGTTATTAACAACCAAATACATTGTTTTGGACAGGTTAATCAGTTTAGAAGATGAGTGAAGTAATTTGTAAGTAACCTCACCTTTTTGAGATTTCCAGATTTTTAGAACCAGAATAACGACCACTAAAGTGAGCAGACCTGTCAGACCTCCGAGGGCGATGATTATGAGGTTTGTCGTTCCACTGGGCTCTTCTACAAAAATAATTAGATAAAAACATAATTTTTAAACCATCCTGACTGCTTTAGGTGTACTATTAATGATAGTGAAGTAACTACATGGAAACTGAAAAACATCTTTTGAAACAAAAAATCTATCTTACGATCAGTCTTATTAAAATCCTCCTCTTCTCTGGGTTCACTGTCTGTAAAGAATCATCGTTATCATAACATTTTGTGATTGCATGACATGTTTTCATGCTAAACATGATGAAGAAACAAAACAAAAATATCTAAATCATGAACAAAAGCTTACCTTGAATTCTTAACTCAACTGCATTGGAAATGACTGTGTGCCCACTGATGTAAAATCCACAGAAATACAGCCCAGCATCAGATAAATCCACTCGTTTGATTTGAAGGAAGACAAAAGAGACATTGGAACTCATATTAAAATTTCTGTTTCCAAATCCATGACAGAAAGAAGCTTCGCTGTCAGATCCATACATAGAAGAAACACAGCTGGGCTTAGTTTTATTGACCACTCTGAACCAGTCTGTCTGCGTTGGATAGGCGGAAATGTTGGAACACTGCAGTGTGACCTCGTCTCCGTCCTGGACCTCCACAGTCTGAAACTCAGAAGCTGAGATCCAGCCTGAAACAGAAAAACAGATACAACATAACACTTATTTATGTAACGGACAGAGAGAATTACATTAGTTTAACATTAAATTAGATTTTTCTTTCAAATGTAGAGAATAATGATATGCTGTACTTACTGCGGCTGCAGAAAACCACTGCTGTTATTAAAGTGAACCTCCTCATTCTGCGTGTAACCGTCTTACAGTCAGGAAACTTTATGTTCTGTAGGGGGGTTTCATTTCATTAGAAAGGGGTGTGGTATTGAATACATCATGCCAGAAGATTTGAATCTACACAGCCTATTTTCATCAGTACCGTTTAAAATGTTAGGTAGCAATTCATTCACACTCGTGCAGGTTTATAGAAGAGTTATCGACGCCTTGTGTGCAAGTAACAGCACACCAGAAAGTGAGACAATAAACATGAATCTGGCGCTGTGCTTTATTGGCAAGAGA